TCTATGGAGTGAAGTCATTTTGTGGAAAGAAGACCTCCGTTTTTTTTTTTTTTTTTTTTTTTTGGTAATAGACCCAAAGGCCTTCTATGGATATGGACTTACAATTCTCCATGGAATAGAGGAATATGGAAGGAAAATCCAAAAGCCGTCTTTGGATAGAAAAGGGAAAAGGCTCTCTAAATCCAAATGGCTTCTATGGATAGAAGACCTGAAGACCCTTTATGAATAGACGACCTAAAGGCCCTTTATGAATAGAAGACTTAGATGTCTCATAAGGCCTTCTATGATTGAAAAATCAAAAAGCCTTCTATGGAAAGAAGACCCTAAGGGCTTCTGTGGATAGAAGGTCTATTGAGTTTTTTTTTTGGATAGGAGATATGAAGGTCTACTATGGGAAGATGACCTGAAGTTCTTCATTTGATAGAAGACTTAAGGGCTTCTATGAATATGTTAGGCTTCCATGAATAAAATACCTAAAGGTGGGACATATAGAGGCTTTTTGTGGACTGAAGATCAAAGACCTTCTATGGAAACAAGACCTAAAATCATTTTTTTCAAGACCTTGAGACCTTCTGCGAAAGGAAGAATGGAAAAGGAATGGATAGATGACATAAAGTTCTTTCTATGGATAGAGGCCCTTAAGTCCTTCAATGGGTGGAAGAACTAAACGCCCTATAAAGATGACAAACTATAATACCCTCTATTTAACAATTACTTAAGGATAGTGACCCTAGATGCCTTTTTGGAATCAGAGGTTCCCAATAAGAAGTGTTATTTTGAATTACCTGGAATTTCGGGAACTATCACTTTGGACTAACGATTATTAACGCAAAGCAGCCTCTCTGCGAAATTCCAAGAAAAAGATATGGAAAGAAGACCTTAAAGGCTTGGCCGTAGATAGAAGACCCATGAGCTTTTTTTGGATAAGAGACCTAAAGACATTCTATGGGCAGAAGATCTGAAGTTTTTCATTAGATCCTCTTCAGGGGATAAAAAAACTTCCAAGGATTCAATGGTTCCCAATAAGAAAAGTTATTTTGAATTGTCTGATATTTCGAGAACTACGCTTTGAACTAAGGATTAATGACGCAAAGCAGCCTCTTTGTGAATTTATTCGCCAACATTCCAGAGCACAAACATTTGTACCGATTTTGCATCGGAAATCTATCGCTTCTCGCCAAAGATTTTTCCGCTAAATTATTGTATCCTCATTTGTGCCTATAATTAATTTATGATGTGTTGTTAGGCGTGTTTTTGTGGGTACCCCCCTCCCCATCTAAAACTATTAACGACACACATAATCCATTAGGGAATAATTGTGTCCCTGACATTTATGTTTAATGAATATATATTATATTTTAGATGGCAACACTTAAATGAGCCGATATCCCGCTAGCTCGTGGATAATAATAGCTGATTGTGTCTGTGTGTGTGACGTATAAGTGTTGGCGGCAATCATACGCACAAGGGTACAATTTCTGACAATTGAAATTTAATTTGGAAGATAACAGGAGAGCGTATTAGTTTTGGCAGCAATTATACATCATGGAGAACAGCTTTAAATATTTCAAACATTCGCTGGAGTTAGTAACAATAAATAAAGATGCTTGATCCTGAAGTCTATCCTAGGGAATTTCTTAAATTATAGTTGACATTTATTATTTTCCCCAAGATTGAGTACTAGTGAAATTTAAATAGTAAAGAACACCTTTTTCGTATTCAACATGCTCTTAAAACTTAAAGAGACAAATAAAAAAAACTTCAGCGAAAAAAAAAAACTGTAGAATGATTGACAATTGGATGATATGTTAAAATCGAAGGTTTACATGAAAATTTTGACATTTTCTTGTTTTCCATCCCTGTAATCTCTGGCCAATGCTTTTGAAAATTCGTATCTTCGCTCTCTTTACCATTAATAACATAAAAGAACAGAGAAAATAAGCCGCTATATATAAGGTAGCTATACCTGACTGAGTGGCGTATAAGTGTTGTCAACAATCATACGCATTGGAGTACTAGCGTTATTCCTTTAGAAGAAATATTGATCTCCTTTTCTAAAAGCCAATGTTTGGTATTTATGGAAAAAGTGTCCACTCACAAAAACAAAAAATTAAGAAATGAGCTCTTACGTTTACACCGTCAAAAAATTAAAGGAAGAAGACGCGGTTTTAATTTGGCATTTTAAATGGCAAATGACTTTAATAAATTTATATTTACCTTTATAGGTTTTATAGTCCTAGAAAATTTTTAAAATCCTCCTTACAAGATCTGATAGTCGTAGAAAATATTTTTGATCAACCTTTACAAACAAAAGTTCTGTAAGTAATATTTGTCCATGGGACCCAAGTTAATGGGTCTGAAATTCTTACAAAAACCTTTGTAAAAATCCCAGTTTCCAAATTCTTTACAGAAACTCTATCTTTACAAAAACTCTACTTTGATAGATTCGAAATTCCACTGAAGGGATAGTTAATTAAAAAAAACTGAGGTGTTTCTGTTTATTACGATAAAAACTTTCTATTAAATTCCCCGATAATGAATCTGAAAACCATTGGACACTCCTTAAAACTTACCGTTCATGTGCCAACAAGTTCTCGATACAATTTTTTTTTTCTTTTTCTAAAATTCCTTGAATTAATTTTATAAAAATACCTTCTGCATCAATTACAAAATCTACAGAAATCGCAGTTGTTAGCTCTGAAAATTCTTTAAATTATGTCTTTAAAACCTCTACAAAAGATCCACGTTGTGGACCCTGATAATCCTTGAGGATCTATCAACAAATAGTCAACCGCTGATTGGTTTGAAAGCCTTTAGAAAAATTAGTATGACCTGAAAGTCTGTTCCACATAAAGGGGTGATAAGATCCTTCTTTATAAAATGACATGTTGATGGCTCTGAAAGTCCTAGAAAAACTCTAAAAAAGTCAACGCTGATTAGTGTCAATGTCCTTGAAAAGTCCTTTCAAGAATATTTGCAATAACTTCAAAATATGTTCTTAAAAACTTCACTTTAATTTTTTTCAAAGTCCTTTCAAGAATTACTAAAAAAATTGCAAAATTAAAATTTTTTTATAAAAAATCTATTTTTTTTACTCCAAATTTCTTTGGAAATATCCCCTTAGAAACTCCACTTATATTATTAAAAATTCCTCTTGAGAAAATCCTCGTTTATTGGTCTGAAAGTCTTGGAAAACAATATTTTTTAAAAAACATAGTTGCCAACATTCCAATTTTTTTTGTGCCCAAAGGCCCTTGAAGAAATACTTCACATTGATGGATCTGAAAGCCTTTAAAACCCTTTAAAAAACTCAATGTTCAGAAATCTAAATATTCTTAAATAAAATATGTCGAACTTCCCCAAGCTTATGAACCATTTATGGCTCTGAAAGTCCTTAACAATCCTTTTCAAGCACTCCTGGTTTATTGGTCTGAAGGTCCTTGAATAACTCTAAAAGAACTGCACATTGATGGAAAAGATTAAAAAATAATGAATAGAAAAGTTCTTCAAAAATTCAATTAAACTCCCCAATAATAGTTTAAAAATGTCTCTGAAAAAAGTTTCGAAGACATTTCTATTAAATTCGACATTTATGATACTAAAAGCTCTTGAAAAGATCCCTTAGATTTTTTTGTTAATGCATTTAAAAGTAGTAATCAATTGGGAGTAAAAATTCCCATTTGCTAGGAGCTGAAAAAATATTTATAAAAGCTCCCGTTGCTTGATCTGAAATTTCCCTTTATTCTTTTGAAAATTCCAGGTTAATAAAATTCATAAAAATCTCCTGATTATTGGGTCCAAATGTCTGTGAAATTATTTCTAAAAAACTGAGCGTTAATTAGTCTCAATGTCCTTGAAAAGGACCGCACAAACTCCACGTTTTTGGCTCTGAAATTCCTTGAAAGTATCTCTATAAAACCTTCAAACATTAAAAATCCTTCATAAAATCTCAAGGCTTATGAGACCTGGATATCCTTCAAAAATCCTTTAAAAACTCCTAGTGTGAAATCCTCGGAAAGAAAAAATTTGAACATCCTTGGAAAACTTATTCAAAAACTTCACATTGATAGGTATTAAAGTAGATTTCGTTTTTCCCATTTTCTTTATGAAAACTTCACGGTGATGGGCCTGTAAGCCCAATAAATATTTTTGGGAAAGCCTCATGTTTTTGAGACTGAAATTCCTTAAAAAATACAAAAAAAAACTTAAAATGGGTGATCCAGAAAGTACTTAACAAATTAAAAAAAATCAGATTTAGATCCTGAATCTCATAAAAAAATTCTTGACAAAAATAATAAAAATCCCTCATTTACTTGGAATTCAATTCCGCCACTTAATCACTTACTTTTTTCTCCTAAAATCTCCATCTTAATAACAATTAAATACCTATGAATAAATCTATGGGGGCGTATACATTATGACAGCAATCATACGCCCCAAATACCCGAATGACTTAACCTAATTATTTGAATTAAATAAAAATGATGTAAACATAAATGTATTTATCCCCCAACTTGACATTAAGTATCCTTTAAGTTCCACTTCATACCTTTAAAATCCGCTACACTTTTCTTTAGAATTTAAATATCCCTAAATTTTAAGCCAACAACCATTAACAACAACTCCATACCCAAGAACAGCAACAACAATAAACAATGAATGGGAGGCGTGAATAAATCAACCCTTTGGCTTGCACAATTTATCATTTTAAGTGATAAGCCTATAAGTATGTGAATACACTCTCAAACACACACACACACACACACCCATACTCACACTCATACATACACCCGCCTTTGACTTTGGCAAATTAATGCTGTCATTTACGAAAAACTTTTGGGCATTTACTTGCCTCGCTCTCTCTCTCTCTCTCTCCCACTCCCTCTCTGTTAAGCCCTTCATACCCAACTGAAATTTAATTTGAAATAATCAGTCTTTCCTAAACAAACTTTGGCACTCATTTTTCTCATTCTCACCACTCTCTCTCCTTTCTTTTGCAGGTCCTACAACTGTACAAATGGTTTCACAGAATCGTCCCCCACCACCGATGACAGTGCCCGTACAGGTGCCTCAGGGTCAGATGGTGCAGCCGTATGTCAATGAAAGTGGCACATTGACACATGTGGTATTGTCACCGCAACAATATCAGCAGCTACATGCCGGCCAAGGACACATACATCCATCATTTGTAAGTAGAATGAAAGAAACGAAAAAACAAAACAATACAAAACAATGCAAAAACAACACATATTTACATGTTGGCCCTCTCTCACACTCTCACTGGCTTGTTCTCGCTTTATTTAACTTTACTGTAATGGGGAGGGCCATTATGTGGCCGCCCAGATAACAATGACAACAATGACACAAAGCAGGTCTATAACCTTTGCCAAGGATTCAATGTGGCACACGTTGTAGATTGACAAACTCGATATTGGCACGCACACACACATGTTTAATTTTAAAATAACTACTCCTTTTTGGTCCGAATCGTTCTTTGAAAATAACTTCTAATTGATTTAGATTGAGATACGTGATTGTGGTAATTTGCCATTGTCATGTGGCAAGGACGAAAGGGCTTTTGAGGCTTTGAAGTTCTGCAAAGTAACTCGAAGTATTACAAGCAATAATAAATCTTAACAACTCATATACGTAGATTTCATTAACAGAACGAAGTACTGTTATATCTATCGTATGACAGGGTTGCGTATGATTATTATCCACACTCATACGCACTGACATCCCTCCTTCTGTGTTAGAATATTCAATATCTGAAAGTCCTAAAAACTATTTTTAATCCATTTTTAAAAATCCGAAAGTGCTTTATTCAGATTAATACTCAATTATTATTATCTTCAATTATTCTGAAATTTTTTCAAAATTAATTCAGATTCATCTGAAGGTCCTTGAAATTTAAAATTTCGCTAGACAACTAAAGGACCCTGAAATAATTTAAATGTCCTGTTCATAACATAAGTCTAAAAGAGTTAAGAAATCCTTCAGCCATTTGGCTAGAGAGGGTATGTATTATTTGATGCGGCCAAAATGTGCCTCATCGAAATAACAATTTTAGACCTTAGGTCCCTTTGGGCCAAATCCGTTTCAGAACATTTGGAGTCAATCTAGCGATGTCCACCCGTTTGTCTGTTTGGCTGGCGCTCATGATAATAATCGAAGGAAATATTCGATTTGGCCCAAAGCTTGGTACATCATAATATTATTATCAAAGTTAGGTCGAGTGCGGAGATGGGCAATGTCGGTCCACTCCTTCTGGTAACCCTCACACCACCCCACCCCCTAAAAGTTTTAAATTTTTAATAACATATTTCACTGCACAGAAAGAGAAAGGATAATCCAATTTTGCTTCAACTTTGCCAATCCTAATATTTGCATTAGTGCGAGGTTAGGTGTGAAAATGGACAATATCGGCCCACTCCATCAAATAACTCCCCCACAAAGAGTACAATTTTTGAAAAATTATAACTCTAATAATACACACATCGGATTATTTCTTATTAACTTAAGGTCGGGTGTGAAGATGAAATATATCGACCCAATCCTTCTGGTACTTCCCCCACAAAGGTTCAAAATTTTGAGTATCCATGGATCTCATAAAACGAGAAATTAACATCCGATTTCATTCAGACTTGACACATGTCAATATTTTCATGAACACAAAAAAATGTTATAAAGATGGTAGAGATCGGAGTATCGCTTCTGGTACCTCCCCCAACAAGGGTCAACATTTTGAATAACCAAAACGAACTTCCACAAGTTTATGAACCATTAATGTCTCTGATAGTCCTAAACAATCCTTTTCAAACACTCCTGGTTTATGGGTCTGAAGGTCCTTAAAAAACTCTAAACGAACTGCACATTGATGGAACTCATAAAAATTAAATGAATAGAAAAGTCCTGCAAAAAAATCAATTAAACTCCTCAATAATAATTTGAAATGCCTCTGAAAAAAGTTTTAAAAACAATTCTATCATAAATTCGACATTTATGAGGCTAAATGCTCTTGAAAAGATCCCTTAGATTTTTTTTTTGTTAATGCATTTAAAAGTAGCAAAAAATTGGGAATAAAAATTTTCATTTAATAGAAGCTGATAAAATCTCCCGTTGCTTGGTTTGAAATTTCCCATTAATCTTTTGAAAATTTCAGATTAATAGAATTCATAAAAATCTCCTGATTATTGGGTCTACATGTCTACGAAATTAGTTTCAATGTTTTTTTTTTCTCTCTGAAATTCCTTGAAAGTATCTCCATAAAAAACCAGGGATTGAAAAACCCATCATAAAAACTCTTGATTCAAGGATATCCTTTAAGAATTCATTAAAAACTCCTCGTGTAAAAGTCCTTGTAATGAAGAAAATTGAAATTATCATAAAATCCGAAATAAGCATCCCACTCTCTTTATATTTCACACATCCCATTATTTCTATTAACACAAGAGCTGCTGTGAAAGTTGGATTCATCGATCCACTGGTACCTCCCCCACAAAGGATCGCAATTTTGAAAATCAAGCTGAAGCTCATAAAACGTCCTGTTCCATTCAGATTTTGCACATCTCAATATTTCTATTAACACAAGACCTGTTATAAAGTGGGTAGAGATCGGACCATTGCTTCTGGTACCTCTCCCACAAAGGGTCAAAGTTTTCAATAACAAAAACGATCATAAAATCCGAAAGGAGCCTCGGGTTCTCTTCAAATTACACAAATCACAATATTTTTATAAACCCAAGGTCTGGTGTGAAATTGGAAAGTTTGAAAATCCTTTGAACAAATATAAAAAATATACAAAGAAAACCCGCGTTCAAAGTTCTGATATTCGTTTGTCTGTCTGTGAGCTCTTACAAAAATATTCAGAAATAAAAAAATATTTGAAAAAACTGAAAGTCCTTAAAAATTGAGATCTACTTTCATTAAAATTTTTATTTAAAATTCAAGTTTTTAATTCTAAAAGTACATTATAGAAATCCCACAAAGTCCAGATTCAAAAGTTAGAAGGTCCTTAGAAGAAAATATTTTTCCTTTCTTTATCTGGACGTCCTTTGAAAAATATTTCCGAAATCTAAGTGGAAACTTCAAAAAGTCTTTGAGAAATGGTTCGAAAACTCATATTCAAAGTTTGAAAATTATTTCAAACTAATATTCAAAAAATAATGTACCATTTTTAATGCCCTCAGATAATATGTTTAGTACCTCTAAATGTCCTTAAAATATATTTAAAAGAATTTTCACTTTTGGAGGGCTAAATATCCTTAAAAAAAATCCTTTTTATGCAAAATCTCATTTAACGACGTTAAAAACACCAGTTTTAACAAATCATCGTTCTAAAAAAATATTTGTAAAAATTCCCCAAGGTCGAAAAAAAAGGTTAAAAAAAGGTGAGATTCAATGACAATTTAATAAATATTAAAAAAAGACCTTTAAAAAATATTTTAAAAGGTCCGAAGGTCGTAAGAATCCTTAAAAATATTTTTAAATTATTTTTAAAAATCCAAAAATTTTCGTTTGAATTTCTGAAAGTCTACATCCGCATAATAGTCCTAAATGTCCTAAAAAAATAGGTTTAGAAAAATCCACGTCTACAGGTCCCAAAAATCCTTTGAAGAATAAAAATTCACGGAAACTTAATCGTCCTCTTTCTAAAAATTCTTCTTCAAACACATAAAAGTCCCCCCGGTTCTTAAGCGAATACGACCTGTTGTTGGTGCGTATGTTTATTGACCACACTCATACGCCCTCTAGTCCATTGGCAAAAGATAATTCAAATACCATTTATCACTCCTAGACAATAAAAGTGACCACAAATGTGTACCATGTCATTTACATGACAATTTAACTTCCATACCAAACGAATACTCCCTTTCGCCCTGCCCCCATGTCCCTTTGCCAAGGTCCACCGGCATGTCCTGTTAATTGTTTTGTCAAATATTTTCATGCCACAAAACAGGTGGTGGTGGTGTCTCTGCATATATTTTCGAACAATAGATTAACATAAATAGCCCGAAGGAATATTCAAATATTTTTGTTAGCACTGCCCACATAATCCGGCAGCAGAAGCAACAACATCCGTAAATTTGTGGCCAAGAATAAAAGTTAAATTGGGTGACAAACACAATAGCACATAATTTATTATTGTTATTATTTTTACCTGCTGGCGTTGAAAGGTGTATAAATTGTATGACCTCCGGCAGACAGTCAGGCAGGCTGGTTGGTTGGTATTGAATTTCTCCAATTGTCTAATTTATTAAGGAACTCTTTAATGTGGATATGGAAATGTTGAACGTATGGACTTGTCAGCACAAGATTGAAAAGGACATTGTAGTAATGTAGAGGACTGTCGAGGACATGGATAACAAAATGGGATTATAAGGTGAAACAATGATACTCAATCTGTCAAATAATGTTAGTAATTTAAAATATAATTGAAAGGGGTCTCATCATTCAAGTCCATAGCATCAGGTACTTATTGTTATAGCCTCAGCCAAAAGGTATATATAGAGGATAAATATCATTTGATTCGGCCAAAATGTGTCTCATAGAAATATATAACAGTTTTAGACCCTAGGGCTCTTTGGACCAACTCCGTTTCAGGGCATTTAGAATCGATCTAGCGATGTCCGTCCGTCCGTAACTATCGAAGAAGTATACAGGGTGAGATAAAAAACTGCAACAAAGTCTAACGCCATAATTTTTACATTTTTTTAATTTTATTGAACGAATTCAAAAAATGTCGGAAATAACATCAAATTTTAGAATACGTTTTGATTTGTTCGAATTGGTCACCTTTGGCACAAATTATGGCCTTGAAACGGCCAATGACACCGTCACACGCTGCCCGAATGTTGCTCTGTGGCCCATTCCTCCCTTCAACTTTGCAAATCCCAATATTTGTAAAGTTACTAGGTCAGTTGCGAAAATGGACAATATCGGTCCTCCCAGTACCTCCCCCACAAAGGGTTAAAATGTTGAATACTTATAACCCTAATAAAATGTGACAAAAGAGTTCGGTTGTCTTCAAATTACCCATATCACAATATTTTTATTAACCCAAGGTCTGATGTGAAGATAGATTAAGTCGGACCACTCCTTCTGGTACCTTCCCCACAAAGGGTCAACATTTTCGATATCCACGAAGCTCATAAAACGCGAAATTAACATCCGATTCCATTCAGACTT